CTCAGACCCGATCCATCCATTGATAGTAGGGGAGGATTCGAACCGAGCCGAGCCAAACATTTGACTATTCAAGCTCAAGCTCGATTCGAGCTAGATACTTGAGATTGAGCTCAGCTCGGTTCGTAGCTCTCAAGTTTGAGCTCGAGATCGACTATAAACCAAGTTCTTTTAACAATAAAAATTATATGTATAAAATTATTTTTTTTATTTTTTAGACAAAAAATAAGAATTATAAAAATTATTTACTAATATACATATATATATATATATATATATATATCTATGTGTGTGTATGTGTATGTATGTATGTGTGTATGTATATATATAATTAAAATGATTTATTTAATACTAGGCTCACGAGTCGAGCTTCGTTGGGCTTGAGTTCGGCTCGATTAGAAAATGAGCCTATATATTGAGTTTGAATTCGACTTAAAGCTCGATTTAAACGGAGCCTGAATAGCTCGTGAAAGGCTTTGCTCGTGGCCACCCCTAATTGACAGGTCTCAACTGTCAAGGGGAGCAAAAGTACCATCGTGTTTTGTTTTTTTTCTTGATAGATAAAATATACAAATACTATCACTTTTGTCTCGCACTGATATTAATTTCCCTAAGGCTATCTTTGGTTGCAGTGCAATTTTATTTGCACTAGTACAAATGCATGACAGTGCAAATCTAAAAAATGAAAATTCTTGTTTAATTTTGTTTTGTATTTTACTTTATTCATGTTTTAATTTAATTCATTTGTAATGCAATCAAACAAAATAAGCTAAATTTTGAAACAAGAATAAGTTAGAATTTACAGTCAAATCATTTGCACCGCCATGGTTTTACATCAGTGCAAACTTATTTACATTGCAACCGAACACAGCCTAACTCATTAAATATTAGTGAACTGAATTTTTGTTGCAAAAACTATATGGACTTATGGAAAAGATTGTCTTGCGATTCTGCTTTGTGCGCGGAAGCTCTAGCAATTAGGCTGGCTTGTGAGAAGATTGATTCGTAGATACAATCTCTTGAGGGTAATCATTGAATCAAACTCCTTTCTCCATCAACGATCCTGATATAGCCCATTTTCTCCATTGGCTGTGATCTGAGCGATATTATTAACTTAACTCTTAATAGCTCTGTTATTTTTACATGAGGTCTACCCCACCACCTAACTTCCTCATCCAGACGGATGGCGGATTAAACCTGCAAGTATATCAAAGAACCCGATGATGCTAACCCGGCAAGGTCGCTCTGATGCTTAAGTCAGTAGATTGGTAGCGAGCTAAAATTGCTTTTAAAAGTAGAGAGCTAGAGAGCTGGAAAATCACGCATACCTTGCACCCCTGGGGGATGGATCCTTTATATAATGGAGTCCTCGCGGGTTTTGCGGAGTAGTTCCGGGATCCTCATCATGATGAGATCCGTTTCCGTGTTAATGGGGGATAACTGATAGGGTTTATCGATTCCGCCCTAATCGGTCGGGGGAGATAACACTAGCTATTACGCGGCATGATCCCGTGAAGTCCGGGAACCGTTGGAGGGATTTTCGGGATCCTCACAGTGGCACGTCGGTATCCCCGAGCTGACGCCTTTAAGTCCCGAACTGGGCTGAGCGTCAAAGTTCTTTGGCACTGAGGTGTTCCTATTATGATCTGGTACCGAGGCGATCTCGTTTCGAGGTGACCTTGTCTCGAGGTCACCTTAGCCCGGGGTAGTTGAGTACCCGAGGTTGTTCTGCTGCGGGTTGGTTATGCTGAGCTGTCATCTATTAGTCAGGTCACGTCCACGTGTCCCCCTATTACGAGGTCGGGCCAAATCACCCTTCATCAATTGCCCCCCACTCCCCGAGCTAGGGGTCCTGACCTGGTGTGGGGAGTTCATGATGTGACAAGTGGATTTGGCTCGAGGTCTAGGCCGTTTTGTTGGACAAATCGTTGGTCGGACCAATTCGGCTACTCGGCTCAACCAAGGATAACCCAGGTCACGTCCGGTTTACGCGCGGACGTCACACAATCTACAAACTCCGCGGACGTCAAAAAACGAGCTAAATCGATTTTAACCTCGGGGGTCGCGCAGCTAGTTTTCTTAGGAGCCATCGGATCGCTTTGATCTCGACCGTTGATTCTCAAGTACAGTGGCTATAAATAGGGGGACCCGAGACTCATTTTCTTCGCCATAAGTTCATTAGCCTTCGGTCTGAGGTCGCGTTCAAGCTCATTAGCTCGGGTCTTTCAGTTCGGTGTTTCTTTTCGGTTCGGTCTTTCTCCTTGATGAGTCTTCCCTAGCTCTCCTCTTCGATTCAGTTTGTTTTTTTCATGTCTAGTTTTAGCTTCGATAGTCTCTTAGATGAGCGCGGTGATTCCGCAGGGGCCGAGGTGGGTACCTCGGCTTAGGTCGATAGTCATACCGAAGCTACTTCGGGTCTGGAAGCGGTCTGTGGCCCTCCTAAGGTGCAGCCACCCCGAGAGGTGCAAGAGGGCTCAGGCAATCCGGCATCCACCTCGCACCGAGGTCGCAACCTGGTGGCCTGGCCCAAGCATGAACTGGCAAACTGTTAAAAGACTTCGGCACCACATAAGTCCCAGTCGCCTCCTCGGCATGGGCACAAAGTCCCAATCGCCTCCTCGGCATGGGCACATAAGTCCCAGTCGCCTCCTCGGCATGGGTAAAATCAAGGGTAAGGAGAGTGGACTATGAGTTGCTCCCAGAGCCTAAGGGCTAAAGTGCCAAACTAGCAAAGACTTCGGCAATATATAAGTCCCAATCGCCTCCTCGGCATGGGCACATAAGTCCCAGTCGCCTCCTCGGCATGGGCATACAAGTCCCAGTCGCCCCCTCGGCATGGGCAAAATCAAGGGTAAGGAGAGTGGACTACAAGTCACTTCCAGAGCTTAAGGGCTAAAGTGCCGAATTGGCAAAGACTTCGGTACCACATAAGACCCAGTCGCCTCTTCGGCATGGGCAAAATCAAGGGTAAGGAGAGTGGACTGCGAGTCGCTCCCAAAGCCTAAGGATTTGAATCAACGCTTACGAGCTCATCAAATTAGCCATTTCAGGCCAAAAGGAGCAATCTACTCCCTTCGTCGAATTACTTTCAGCTTGGGAGTGGGGGACAAATGATGAGGGCGGATTTGACCCTCCAATGATATTGTGACACATGGCACCTCAGAACAACTAGGTGACACCCGGAACCACTTAGGCAACAACTTGCTTTAGCCAAGTTGATGGTGTCCTACCTGGCGGCCTGGCATGGGCGCCGACCTGGCAGCCTGGCCCAGGCGCGAGCTGGCGGCCTGGCACAGGCGCCGACCTG